CGCTGCTTTTCGGTCTGGTTACTACCGTTTATGTCAGAACGATACCGGTACCCATCCCTACTCCTGGGTCCACAATAGGGCTGGCAAATGTGGCTTGTTTTGTTTTAGTCTCAAGTCTTAAAGCATGTCTTCAGGTTTTTGCAGATGATCCCTTCTCCCGGCTCCAGGGCATGCCCCTTTCAACCAGATTTGGGGAAAAGTAGTATTATCAATTTAAATAAACTAATGACCAATTTTCTAAAGGGTTTTCAGACAAGTATGGCTGCTATGACTCAAAAGTCGCAACATAAAAAAAGGAGACAAATACCAGAGTTTTAGTAATAAGAGGTTTTATCTTAAAATGGCATAGTAGGTTGGCTAAAACTGCTGAGCCACCAAAGCAAAGACTAGTGAGCCTTCTGGAAAGCCTGTCTCAGGTATACTTTTATCAACACCTGACTAGGTGGGGCCAGTTAGCACCAGCTGAACACACTGAGGAGATTAGGGTTGCAGATGGGTGTTACACCACCTCCCTCAAAAAGGTTCTTCTAGGACCCCTAAAATAAATTAAAACCCACTCTGAAGCTTTCTGGTCATTGATCCCCAAACCTGAAAGAAAAGTAAAAGCTAGCAGAAGCTCAGCGTTCACATTACTATAGTTCGCATCTTTAAGCATGGATGCCCCTGCATGAGGATTTGAAGTTGCCACACTGAACGTACAAAAACTAATATGACCCAACACAAAGGAGGACAACAGTCAAACCCAAAATGATTACTTGACCTGCTACAACACAAAACAAAAGTATCAGCTGTTAAATATAAACACTTCACTGCATTCTTCTGATTCCTCATCCAATGGAAGACAACACACACACACTGCTCAGTAGACCATTTCACACTATTCTCTTACACAATCACTTCTAGAAGGGAGATGCGTCCTGCATAACACGTTGCTGCAGATCTCAAAATGGTGACGGAAACTTGACAGTTTTAATACCGGGCACCCCATTCTAGTCTAAACAACAGCATTTCACCAACTTTCCACTAGAAGATAGTTCCCTGTTATCTACTGTTCTGCAGGCAAACGTGGGCGGGAGTCTACAACTGAAGGACATGTATTCTAATGCGTTTATTGTTCTGGGCTGTGTCCACTTAGTACTACAATATATGATTATATGGCATTTTGATTAATATGAGATTAATATAAGGCACAGTATTAAAGCACTTCAGGTAATATCAGTCTAACACAAAAGATAATAACCACAACCAAGTGATCTGTTGTCTCCACCACACAGGTGGTCACATACCACAACAAGTTACTTTAATCTCCAAAGTTCAGTAAAGCAAGCATGCTAGTGACCAACCAAAAATGGAGAGCTATGGCCACACAATGATCACAACAAGGCTGAATCACCACCCCACATTGTTATTGCCATCACCTGGCCAACAACACTCACAAGTGTTCCAACTAAAGTAGCCAAATTCTCCACAACACTAAAGGTCACAGCACAAAACACTCACCTCCTCATTTGGCATCCATCAACACTGATATATTAGATGCAAACACAACATAGTGATAGAATGACCCACGTTTCTCTTTCTCTCACTGTCCTTTAGATCTGCAGTTTGAAGATGACTGAAACCAACGTGGTGATACACAAAACTTCACAAGCTTCATTCACCACTGAAACACTTCACCTATGAACTCAAACTAGGTTACCATCTACAAAATAAATGCTCACACACCTACTGTCACTGAGAGGATAAATGACACAGAAAGGAGTTCAAGTGGATCGAGAAACCATCACTTGTTCAATCTGTTTGGATCTACTGAAGGATCCGGTGGCTATTCCCTGTGGACACAGCTACTGCATGAACTGTATTAAATCTCACTTTGATGAAGAGGACAGGAAGGGAA